AGCTTTTGATGGCAAAGGATATGGAGGTTGGAGAAGGGCAGTCATCATTGCCTTGTCTGCAAAGAACAAGCTGAGATTCATCGATGGTACTCTTATTATCCCTAAGACTGATTTTGCAGTCCAGCAGGCTTGGGGTAGATGTAATGATATGGTACTTTCATGGCTTCTCAACTCCTTGTCCAAAGAGATAGCTGAAAGTGTGCTCTATTCACAGAGTGCAAAGGATTTGTGGAGTGACCTGGAAGACAGATTTGGACAGGCAAATGGAGCAAAGTTGTTCCAATTACAAAAGGAATTAAGTTCAGTAGTGCAAGGTAATTCAAGTGTATCAACTTACTTCACCAAAATCAAAAGCCTATGGGATGAACTAGATGCACTCAATACATTTTCTGCTTGTGTATGTGAGTGTAAGTGTGGTGCAAAAGTCAAAAGCTTGAAAGCACACCAAGATGAGAGACTATTTCAGTTCCTAATGGGACTAAATGATATATTTATTGGGGTAAGGAGTAACATTCTATTGTCATCACTTTTACCCTCCATTGGACAGGCATACTCTCTTGTGATTCAAGATGAAAAGCAAAGGGAGATACATGCTACCCCTGCATACTCAGGAGAATCTGCCTCATTCATTGCTACCAACCAACAAGGAAATTTCAGAAGATTTAATGAGAACAGGGTGCAGAAAACAAGTTTTGAATCTAAGAAATATTTAGGAATTTGCTCCTATTGCAAAAAACCTGGACATAGCATCCAGAAATGCTATAGCATTCATGGGTTTCCAGCTGATTTCAAGTTCACAAGGGAGAAAAGATTTCAAGGAGGTGCCCAGGCAAACAAAGCTTCCTTCTCAAATGAAGAAAATGAACAGGGAAGTGCATCAGGAGTTCAGAATCTCACCAAGGAAAATGTGGCTGAGCTGCTGCAGCTTCTTCAACAAGTGAGAGTGGGACATTCCAGTGCAGATACCCCTGATGTTGCAGCAAATGTGAGCCATACTGGTATGACCAATTTATCTGAAGATTTAGCCTGTTTAATTCAAATCAATGATGAGTCTTGGATATTGGATAGTGGAGCAACAGAACATATGTCTTTCAACAAAGATTTTTTTATAGAATTAAAAACTTTGGCTAAACCTCTCATGGTAAAACTCCCAAACTCTTACAGAGTTCAGGTCACTCATTCAAGAACTATTTCTCTTTTGCCTAATCTGATTCTTCGAAATGTTCTTTACATTCCATCCTTCAAATATAATCTGTTGTCTGTGCACAAGTTATGCAGACAACTCAAGCAATATGTTTTATTCACACATTTTTCATGTTTTCTTCTATAGGGCCCTTCAGTGAAGAGCCCACTGGATATTGGTAAAGAGGAAGGGGGCCTCTACATTCTCAGATCCAGACATACAACACCAGTGTCTAAGAGTCCACTCAAATTTAGAAGTGTTTTTATTCCAAGAAGGAATTCTGTTTCCAATCTTAATTTGCATTCATGTTTTAGTTTTTATGATTCAACTGTAAAAGAGAAACTATGGCACTACAGATTAGGCCATATGCCCCTTAGCAATATGAAAAATGTTTCATCAGTTTCTATATCTAAGTGTTCCAAATTCTCCAGTCCATGTCTTATTTGTCCTATGGCAAGACAGTCCAAACTTCCATTTCCCTCTAGTTCTATTTCTACCAAGAAAGTGTTTGAATTAATTCATGTGGATACCTGGGGACCATACAATAGTGCTACATATGATGGTTTTAAATACTTCCTTACAATTGTTGATGATTTCAGTAGAGGCACATGGACCTACCTACTAACCAACAAAGCCAATGCATTCACTATTCTACGAGGTTTTATAGCTATGGTGTAAAGACAGTTTAACAGCAAGGTGAAAATCATAAGGTCGGACAATGCTTTTGAATTGGGAAGTGGTAAAATTCAATCAGAATTTTTTGAGTCACTAGGTATTATTCATCAAACCACTTGTGTGTTCACACCACAACAAAATGGAGTGGTGGAGAGAAAGCACAGGCATCTTTTAGAGACATCTAGAGCCTTGTTATACCAATCACACCTGCCTACATCATACTGGGGTGACTGCCTTCTTACAGCAACCTATTTGATCAACAGATTTCCTTCAAGTGTCTTAAAGCTTAAGACTCCTTATGAAGTCCTTTTTTCAAGAAAGCCAAATTACTCTAACCTTAGATGCTTTGGGTGTTTGTGTTTTGCTTCTACTGTCTCAAATCAAAGAACTAAGTTTGAACCTAGAGCTATACCTTGTGTGTTCTTAGGTTATCCTCATGGAAAGAAGGGTTACAAAGTCTTGAACCTCAAGAATCTGAAGCCTTTCATTTCTAGAGATGTTATATTTCATGAAGAATTCTTTCCTTTTGCTTCTATTAAGTCTAATTCTTCTTTTGAGATTTCTTTACCCACTGCTCCATTTTCTGCAAATCATCAGACTCCTGAGCCTCTATCTTTTCCTATCAGACCACACACTAAAGCCTCCAAAGAGGCTACTGCATCAAGTGATTGCTGTTCTTCCCCCATTTATTCCAGCCATCCTCGTTCACCTATTCCCTGTATCTCTCCTTCTAGTTTCTCTCCAGATTCTCCAGTTACATCTAATCAACCACATACATCTACACCAGTTTTTCCATCTTTGGATTCTGATTCTATGATGGATGTTCTTATTAGGAAGTCTACCAGAACACACAACTCCATCTTATCTCAAAGATTTTATCTGTAATGCACTCCAACTCACAGATGTTAGCAACTCTTGCTTTCTCACACCAGTTAAACCTACTTATATATCTTTCAGTGGACTATCTTCTACCAATCAACATATGCTAAACACATTGTCCAATATACAAGAACCTACTGACTATTTACAGGCAACACACCACCCAGGGTGGCAAGAAGCAATGAATAAAGAGATTGAGGCATTTGAACTTAATATGACTTGGGAAGTGGTTGAATTACCACCCGGGAGGAAAGCTTTACCATGCAAATGGGTCTATAAGGTTAAACACCATTCAGATGGGAGTGTGGAAAGACTAAAGGCAAGATTGATCATTAGAGGAGACATACAAAAAGAGGGAATAAACTTCAATGAAACTTTTTCACCGGTGGTGAAGATGACCACAATCAGATGCATACTAGCCACTGCCGTAAAGAAAGGATGGGGTCTATATCAACTAGATGTGAATAACGCTTTCCTACATGGAGATCTAAATGAAGAAGTGTACATGAAATTCCCACCTGGAGTTATACCTACTTCACCTACTCATGCATGCAAGCTAAAGAAATCAATTTATGGGCTACGACAGGCATCTCGTCAGTGGTATGCTAAACTTACAACTGCTTTGAACTTTAAGGGATTCACTCACTCATTCAACGACTATTCTTTGTTCTTTAAAAGGTCAGATTCTTCCGTTTCTATAGTGGCTGTCTACGTGGATGATATACTCTTGACAGGTAATGACACCAAAGAACTACATGCTTTGAAAAACTTTCTCAATCAAGAGTTCAAAATTAAAGATCTCGGGGACTTACATTTCTTTCTAGGCATGGAAATTGTCCGAGAAACAGATGGACTTCTCCTTTCTCAGCGCAAATTCACTTTAGACCTTCTCCGAGAATTTGACTCTCTGCACTTGTCCCCTGTTTCTTCTCCACTCGATTCGTCTACTCGTTTGTCTACTCACATAGGGGAACCAGTGAAAGATCCCACCTTGTATCGTCATCTCCTTGGCAAACTTAACTACCTCACTCACACCCGCCCAGACTTATCCTTCACTGTCCAGCACCTCAGTCAGTACATGCAGCACCCTCGACAACCCCACCTAGATGCAGCACTCCGTGTTCTTCGCTATCTGCTCAAAGATCCTGGGCTAGGGCTTTTTATGTCTGCTTCCTCCTCCTTCAATCTCCTAGCTTTTTGTGACTCTGATTGGGCCACTTGCCCGGATTCGAGGAAGTCGGTCAGTGGTTTTTATATTTCTCTTGGTACCTCTCCGATCTCTTGGAAGTCCAAAAAGCAAACTTCCATCTCGCTCAGTTCCGCCGAAGAAGAATACAGATCTATGCGGCGAGTAGTTGCAGAGCTCACATGGTTGGTCCGTCTTTTTGAGGATTTGTCAATTCCTATCTCTCTTCCAGTCCCTCTTCACTCTGATAGCCAAGCAACAATTCACATAGCAAAAAACCCTGTTTTTCACGAACGGACGAAGCACGTTGAAATCGATTGTCATTTTGTACGCGACCAATACCTAGCTGGGCTGATTTCGTTAAACTTTGTTCGATCTCCTGCCCAGTTGGCAGATCTCTTCACCAAACCACTCGCCGGACCTCTTCATCGTGATCATTTGGGCAAGCTGGGTGTGTTATCTACCCCCTCCAGCTTGAAGGGGGGTGTTGGAATCGAAGGGTCTGTTGGAATCAAAGGGTTTGAGGCAGAAGGGTTTTGATTTGGGTATGTTTGGTATTTGGACGGGTTTGAGGTGATGACAATAGATTTGGGTGTGTTTGTGTTTGGTATGCTGGCATTGGGCCTAATTGGGTTTGATATTTTGGGCCTAATTGTGGTCTACACAATTAGGCCTGGTCAACCGGCCCACTTGTGGCATTGCCTTGTTCAGAAAATTAGTGTACAACACATGCTACACTCTATTTTAGGTAGTTTTCCCATACCCTTTGTATTTAATTATTTGCTCCATCTTTGTATTTCTTTTATGTACAACTTTACCCTAGCAAATAGGACTTGGCCACTTGCCAATGTAGGAGGTTACCCAAAACATTTCTGTATATAAGTTTGGATTTTACACTTGAGAATACACAATTTTCTTTCCATTCATCAAATACACAAGCAGAAAAATTACATTTCGTTATTTTTTCATAATAAGGGCAGAGAGATGTTAATATTTCGCTATTAGTAAGCAATCCCCTAGTTTTGACCTAATGAGCTTTCTTTACGTTGAGTTAATTAACCCGGCGTGTTCGCCTAGATGCCTAGTAAAGAACGAGCTGGTGGGAAAGAGCTGGAGAATTCGCTCTCAGATTCAGTGTCTTTTTTTCTTTCTTCATTTTGCTTTTTCTGTTGATTCTTTGGTGGTGGTATCTGAAGTGACCATTAGTAATTAGCTTTAAGGGAAAGGAATGACATATTGAACATACAATTTGGGCATATTCTTTATCTATCAACTTGCAGTGAGGGTCTTTGTGCTCTTCAGGTTTACATCAGACTGAAACAATTCTTGTGCTATTTTATACAGTGCTACATCCAATAGCATTTTAGATCGAGCCGTTGATCTTGAAGATGCTCAGCACAAAGACATTCTTCGCCTAGTAAGTGCAAATTACAATTTGATTTGCATTTGATGTGATTGATTTGTGCTTGTACTTTCATCTCCCATCGCTATTTTACAGGATCACATAGAAGGATACCATGAGTTATCTGCAAAGACACAAGCTTTCTTTACCACTGCAGTTGCAAAATGGGATGCCGAGTTCTATGTAAAGGTTGATGATGATGTTCACGTTAATTTGGGTATATCCACTCTCCTTTTAACCTATCATGTTTTTTTTAACTACTCAAGATCTCCAAATACACTGGTTTTCTTCCTTGATTTTGTATGGTTTTAACTTATATACATTGATCGTGTAAAGAATTTTAACACCATCATAGTAATTTCACCAGTTGTATTTAATGAGCAATTATCTGTAATTACATTTTAAGTGACATGATAATGTAAGTTCTTTTAAACTGTCAGTATATAAAAGTTAAACTCTTTGGAAATTTACACCTGATTGCCATTATGTTGTAGGTACTCTTGCTGCAACTCTAGCCAGGAATCGGTTGAAATCCATGGTGTATATAGGATGCATGAAATCTGGGCCAGTTCTTTATCACAAGTAATTTTGTTGGAAACTTCCTTGCTGGAAACATAACTCATTCCCTGTTTCAGTCCCATTGCAGGATATCAACTGGTAAAAGTCACATGTATCTTATTTTCTTTCATTCGTAGGAATGTTAAGTACCATGAACCTGAGTTCTGGAAATTTGGAGAGGCGGGAAATAAGTACTTCCGGCATGCAACTGGACAGATATATGCCATTTCAAAAGACCTTGCAACATATATCGCTAATAATCGGTAAGATAATTTGCTGATGTCTGTTTCCTTGAAGTCCGGACCTAGTGTTACATCTTGCTGTAATGCTCTACATATGTTGATTGATTTCTGATTGTTCTGTTTTGAAGTTGTAATGCACAATCAGTTTCTAGTCTAATCTAAATAAGCAGGAATGAATCTTATATTTGATTGTCCTATGTTAAATAATATGGTGATTTCAGGCCCATTCTGCATAAGTATGCAAATGAGGATGTGTCACTTGGTGCATGGCTAATTGGTCTTGAAGTTGAGCACATTGATGAACGTAGCATGTGCTGTGGAACTCCACCTGGTATTTTTAAGCAACTTCTATTTCCACTTGTTACATATCTTTGAATAAAGGTATCTGCAACTTTTCGTGTTGCTGCAGAATGCGAATGGAAAGCGCAAGCAGGTAATGTATGCGTAGCGTCATTTGAATGGAGCTGCAGTGGAATTTGTAGATCAGTCGAGAGAATCAAGCACGTACACGCCAAGTGTGGCGAAACTGCTGCTACTCTTTGGGGTGCTCTCTTGTAGTTGGCATTATTTATCATTCTCATAAGGTATTCTCATGGAGGAGATATGTTTGAAACAGATCTTTGACAGAGTTCAACTGAAATATTAGCAATAGTATCATTTTGAAAAGAACATATTGCTGATGGAACCTGCAAAAGAAAGGAGGAGCATACAAATTGTTGGAATAGTTTTAGTTTTTATTAGAAATTACAAATTTTTGTAGTTCTAAATTTTGATACCACATTGTATATTGTGATATAAGATTCAGTGGAACTCTTGGTCAGATTTGGCGTAAATTTCACAGATGGTCATATAACTATGATATTTTTTCACTAAAGTCATATAATTTTGTTTTCTCACACAAAAGTCATAAAACTTTCACTACTTTATTCAAAAAGTCATAGTTAACCGGCAAAGACAATTCTCCGGTAATTTTTTCGTATTTTACCATTTTTTTATTTTTTAAATTCAATCTAATAAATTATGACTCAATTAAAATAGGAAATTTTACCTCCTATAGCAAAGACATACACTCTATTCAGAGGCGGATCAGGGATTTGATTCTTATGAGTTCCTACCGTAATTTCAAATTTATATGCAATAATAACTGGGTTCACAGTTAGTTATTTAATTATAAAAGGGGTAGAGAGGCTGTTTCAGAAACACTCTCGGCTCAACATAATAAAAGGACAAAAGGAGAGAATATTAGTTTCGCCACAAAGTATATTAGGACTTCTAATATAATTCAAATAATTAAGGAAAAATTTAATAATCAAAATTTTAGTTGATTTTATATCCTAAATATTAGAAAAATAATTAAATTATAATCTTGTCTAGTATGTAATCCTTTTATAAAGGGTAAAAAGAGGTGAACGCTATTTAGCGTGCTTTGCGCGTGTACCTCGTCCGAATAAGTAAATTTTCTTTATAAATCTTATATTTATTACATTAAAAATTGTATGAAACTCATAAATAGAAGTACGTAAAAGTAAAAAGTATAAATTTCTAAAATTTATCATTGTCGATTTTATTTATTTAACTCAATGAAGGAAGATGTTAAGTGTCTTCAAAAGCCTAAATATTATGAAACTGATTAAATTTATAATTTTTTCTAATATAAAATTTATATTTAAAATATATGATAGAAAGACTTTTATTGAATCAAATTTTCTAGCTAAAAATGTAAATTATCAGTGAAGTTCTTACTGAAGTATTTACGAATTAAATTTTATGAATAACGAAATATACTTCTAAACCTAGTAGTAAATATACTTCTACTTCTTATAGTTTTTATTTATTAGATTGAATTTAAAAAATAAAAAAAGGTAGAATACGAAAAAAATTTATCTTTGCCGGTTAACTATAACTTTTTGAGTAAAGTAGTGAAAGTTTTATGAATTTTGTGTGAGAAAATAAAATTATATGACTTTAGTGAAAAAATATTATAGTTATATGACCATTTGTGAAATTTACCCGTCAGATTTGCTATTTCTTTTCATCTCAGTGGGACTCTTGGTTAGATTTGCTATTTCTTTTTATTTTTGCAGGTTTTATATCTTCATGTATGATGAGTCTAAAATTGTGATGTACAAACAGAGAGCTTGGTTTGAAATAATTAGTACAGTATACTAAAATGAATTGAAGTGAATCTGCAATTTGAACTACAAAACCTATAGCAAAGGATTTCGATCAATTGATTAGGTAAGCTAGATTTAGATTTCAATTATATAATTTTTTCTTCTTCGTTTGGGACCAAACATCCGTTAACCGTTAAGTCACGCATACTTGTAGGTTGAACAAAAAAACTCTGCCATCTCTTAAACACGATAGGTTTAAGTTTAAGTTTCAATGATGATAATATTATCTTTTGTTATATTTTCAGGACAAACAAAAAGGAAAGAATAAAGATACTTAGCAAGATTGCTACTGGATTTAAAATAAGGGAAAAATGAAGATTCAGTTACTGCATTAATGATCAATCAAGAAGCACATTGACTCGTCCTCAATCAAGGAAAGAATGAATATTCAGTTACTGCATTAATGATCAATCAAGAAGCACATTGACTCGTCCTCAATCAAGGAAAGAATGAATATTCAGTTACTGCATTAATGATCAATCAAGAAGCATATTGACTCAATCAAAGTAACTCAGGTTACCAATCATGGTCACTTCAGTTTTGAAAATCGCGCTTACGAATTAATCTCTCCTTGAATTCAGTTGTGACAAGGAAGGTCACATTCAAATCTAGGCCAGTCAAAGAACAAGATTTAAAGAGGCACCCCTTGGGTCAAATCCTTTAATTAAAGATCTTGTGCCACCAATTTCGAAAAGGACTCAATGGCTCTTTTCTCTTCTATAAGAAGGCTGCTCTCTCAAGAAGAAGATCACGCAACTACACAAAGTGTATTCCAAATCTGTCTACTTCTTAATTCAAACACTGTAATTCTGAGTTATCAGTGTCTCAAAAGATAGAGACATCTAGAGTACAAAAGAAAGTTATGTCAACTGAATAGAACTCAAGTGCTGATTCTGTACGTCGGTGGTAAACGCAAAAACCATCAATATTGTAACTTTATTCAAAGATCTTAAGGGAACCCTTGTGACCTAAGGAAAAATGGATATAAGTACCACAACGGTACCGACCAGTATAAATCATGTGTGTCTTACTATTTTTCTTTACTGCTTTTTCTCTTTCTGTCTTGTGGTTAGTCAACTAATACTTATATTAGTCGACCAAATTTTAACTAGGTAACAATTCACCCCCCTCTTGTACTTTTAATTGGTATCAGAGCAAGGCTCACAATCTGTGCTTTACCGCTAGTGAGAAAAAGATCAATGTGATCCAACATTATTGCTGGTGCTCTCTTTCAAGAAGAAACCTCTCAGGTTCGACCTCCTTACTTCAATGGTCAGCATTTTTCTCATTGGAAAGTTCGCATGAAAACATATACCATGTCATATGACATCAAAGTATGGTGTGTGATAAAAAAAGAAAATCTTCCAATTCCTCCCACGACGGATGCAAATGGTGAAGTCATCACATCAACTGATCCTCTAGATTTGGACGATTACACTGATGAACAAGCTGTTATTATCACTGTACAAAAGCAAAAAATCTATTGTACAATGCTATCAGTGGAGAAGAATATGAAAAAATATCCAGTTATGAGACTGCAAAAGAAATGTGGGATAAACTGGAAGTCACTTATGAAAGAACCAACAAAGTGAAAGAGACTAGAATAAATCTCCTGGTTAGGGAACATGAATTATTTCAAATGAAGATGGAGAATCTGTTGAAGAAATGTTTTCTAGATTCAACAAAATCCTTGGAGACCTCAAATCATTTGGAAGATCTATTAAAAGTGGCGAACAGGTTAGAAAGATCCTCAGAAGTCTACCTACAATCTGGCAACCAAAAGTCATCTCTTTAGAATGTCAAGATCTGGAAAAATCTCCTATGATGAACTCAGAGGTGACTTGATTGCTTTTGAGAAAACTCATCTTGACAGACAAATTCAAGAGAAAAAGAAAACTGTTACTTTCAAGGCAACTATGGCTGAACCTGAAAATGAAGATGAAGTAGAAGGAGGAGAACAAGATGAAAACATTGCAATGCTCTTGCAAGTTGTGACCAACATGATGAGAAGAAACAAAAACTACAGAAGAGGTAAGTTTAATTTCAGAAAAGGAAGGGCGAGCAATGAAACAGATAAGAATGATGGAAGATGTTACGAATGTGGAAAGCTCGGACACATTCAAGATGATTGTCTTGAATTAAAAAGGAAGCTTAGCAGAAACATGCAAAAGAAGAAAGCTTTTGGAGCATGGAGTGATAGGAGGAATCTGATCATGAGGAAATTGCCAACATGTGCTTTATGGCTCTTAGCGACAATGAAGAATCAAAGAAACTTGGACTAATGGCAAATAGCAATGATGAAGAAGATGATTCAAGAAGACCTTGTTCACCATTGGATGAAGGAACTAGTGAGGTACGTACTCCTTTATGTCCAAATTGTTATGAACTTCAATAATTTGTTGATATTGCCCTTGCAGACATAGAAAGAGTACTTAATGAACTCAGAAAAGCCAAGAGAGAAGAAGGATTGGGCCCTGAAACTAGAAGTATGCGAAATTGAACGTGATATACTTCAAGAAGAATTAAACGAACTCAGGCTTCAATTGAATGGTCTACAAAGAACCTCAAGTTTTAGTTCAGTCAAAACTTGTGATGACTAGAAAGGTCATCACTTGTTTTAGAAATAAATTCAGTGTTCCGATGCCATAAAACCTCCTTTTTACCTTACCTCAATTTGCGTGCGTGGTCTAGACATATATCTGGAAAGCTTTTATGTGAAAATATGAGAAATATAAATTTCTAGAGTTAAAATTTGATTATGGTTGACTTTGGTCAATATTTTGAGCAAACGGACCCGGATCTGTGTTCCAAAGATCCTGGGAGGTCTGCAGTAATATATGAGACTTGGGCGTATGCCCGAAAATGAATTCCAAGGTCCTAAGCCTTAGAAATTAATTTTTGAAAGAAATTGTTTTGCTGAATTATTTATGAAATAAAGAAAAGAATTAATGTTTGAAACCATTGGTATCGAGCTCGTATTTTGGTTTTGAAGCCCGATACAAACTTGTTAAAGTATTTAAATGATAGCCGTAAAATTTGGTGAAAATGGAGTTTATTTGACGTGAACTTCGGTTGAAGAGTTATGAACTTTAAGTGTTCTTGATGAAAATGATGAGTTTTGAGGTTTAATTCATAGTTTTACATGTTATTTTCATGATTTGATTACACGAGCAAGTCTGTATGATGTTTTTGGGTTAGTGTACATATTTGGTTTGGAGACCCGAGGGCTCGGGTGAGTTTTGGATAGGCCTCAGAGTGAAATTTGGACTTAGGAAGTTGCAGGATTTTAGCTGGTATGTTGCAGGTCTGCAGGCTTTGCATTTGCGAAGCCTGGCTTGCAATTGCGAGATCACAACTGCGAATAACCATCGCAAATGCGAGAGAAGGCTTGGGCAGGGCTGATCACAAATGCGATCATTTCATTGCAAATGCGAAGAGGCCCAGAAATCCCTCTTGGTCGCAAATGCGACCCCCCCATCACAAATGCGAGTTCGCAATTACTAACAATGGTTGCAAATGCGAGTGTAGCAAGTCCTGAAGGGTTCACAATTGCAAACCCAGGTCGAAATTGCGACATTTGCGACCTGCAGATTCA